CTAAGGAATTTACTGCAAGTTACCGGGTTGAGGGTTTAGGGTTTAGGGTTTAGGGTAGGGTTTGGGGTGTAGGGTTTTAGGATATCGTAAGCAAGATGCTGTCTTTCACCTTAACCTAAGCTCCTTGACTATTTCCCAGCACATGTTTCGAACCTCGCTTCCTCAGTCTGGAACATACCCACGGACACAAGTGCTGTAGGGGCCTTGATGATTGGAACAGGGTTTGCGTGTATAGCATACTATACTTCCAGTAAGGAGAGCCCCAAAACCCTATTCAGGCCCCCATATCAAGAACCCTACTATACTTCTCGAACCCTTTCAAGGGAACCCTATCCTAGTTATTAAGGCCCTACATTACATCTTCCAGCCTGCGCCTCAGCTGGGGTGTTGCGCGAAGTTTGCTGCAACGGCGCAGGAGTTGAGTAGACCGCCTTCCCAAAACAGCGCGTCTAACACCGGAACACCTAAACCCTATAGTAACCGTCGTGGGAACCATTGTAAAAACACCTATAGACCCCGTTAAAGGAATATGAGATGGAGGAGAAGTGGAGTGACGGATTGCCACTATGTCACTATGGCTAATCTGCGAAGCCTGAATTATAGTATCCTTTTGGGGGGGGGGGGGGTAGATAACCTACAAATCCCTAATTCTCCCTAGGTTCCCTGAAAGTTCCCTAAGGATCCCTTGTACCCTCCCCATTGAGCAGGCCCCATAGTAGTTCCTTTTGGGGATTACCTTATAGGATTCTATATATGAACCCCAAAAAGGAACTACTTTGGGGCCTCTGGGACCATCAGGAGACGGCAGGGCCAGTCCAGCGCTGGTTGTAGTACTAGAAATTGTTGATACACCAGTCGGTAAAACCATGATCATACGAACATGAATAACGATACAGGTACGGTACTGTGCTACGAAAGTAACAATAAACAGAACAAGAATAATAGCAATTGCACTAGCAAGAAAAACAAGCATCATCAGGACACTGATGATAAAAGCAACAATGGTTCAGGGCTGTCGAGCCTCCAGGGTGATAGCTGTTAAAACGTTTGCGTGGGAAAGGTAGACTTTACTGTACAGCCCTTATAAGCCCGATTCTCGACATTAAGGCTTTCAGTAATGCATTATTTATGTTTTAGCTTAGGTCAACATGCACACGAGCACGTGCATGTGTGTGCGTGTGTGCGCGCACGCCTCGGTTGCTGGGAAAAGCTCTGTCTGTGTGTGTCTGTCTGTCTGCCTGCCTGCCTGCCTGCCTACCTGCCTGTCTCTGGTCTGTCTGTCTGTCTCTGTAAAAGGTCAAGACCCAAAGTACGTATGTATGTATGTACATGTTGATCTTTCCATTGACTTCTTGATTCATTTACTTTCTTATGCATATGCATATATGTATAAATGTGCGTATGTCTCTGTTTGTTTCTATATGTACATGAGTGTGGCTCTCTAAATTAAGGTCCCTTTGGGGGTCGTCGATGGATTCAGCCGAGGTCGGCACCCAAACAAGGAAATCAGCGGAGCTGGGCTTTCTCCTGCGCCAGAGATCTTAGGGGGCCCTCAGTGCTGGCCTTGGGGGGCTGGGGGATTTAGGGTTTGGGGGTGGTGTGGGTTTAGGGTTTTGGAGTTTTAGGGTTTAGAGTTGAGGGATTAGGGGTGGTGCGGTGGCTAGTTTGGGAATTCGCCTTGAAAGCTGGTGCTAGGTCGACGGGTGGTGGATAAGATACGCAATGTGCAAAAGAACACAGCGTGCTCTGAAATTGTAGAGGGTTTTTTTTGGCTTCCCTAGGGTTTTGGATGCTTTTCCAGATTCGGATATGCCGGTGAAGTCGAGTCGGCCATCGCTTCTTCTACGGGTATCGAGCATGGGTCCCTGATTATCTGAAACCCCCATACTCTGCAGCAGGTGTTAAACTAAAACCCATGGCAAGAGCTGCGTCATCATCATCACCGTGGTCGTCATCGCCATGGCCGTCGCCGTCGTCATCTCTGCTCGTGCAGTTCATTCCTACTCTGCTCATGCTGTCGAACTGTCGAATCAATAAGACTTCCACTGATCACACAGGTCAGAACTTGCGGACGCGCGCGAGTCAACCTGCGTGTTCCACCCGCACAGAAAAGGACCCTAAAACGCCACAGCCAACTGCAAGCCCTAAACCCTAGAACCCTCCCACTAGTAACTGAAACCTCACTTGTGTATGCCGTGTACAGACCAAACTCGATAGAACAAAAAGGATAACACTGTTAGAACAACAAGCCCCAAAGCAGTAAATCAGTCAAGTCGGCCTTCAGCGCGGTGAAGGCTCTGAAGAGGCGTCCCCTGATTTCCTGTGCGGCTCTCGGGGCTCAGATCCGGGCCGGGGCTTTGAACCCGTATTTGGAGGTTCATGGTTGGCTATACGTAGGGTTATAAGTAGGACAACCATACGTGTAATTATAACCCATGTTAAGAGACTTACAGCCCTACTTATAACGACCCATGAACCTCCAAGCAACACCCTGATCCTTTGCAAGGGAGGGTCTGGAGAGCCTGCGCGGGCTTCGCGAAACGTTGAGACTGCCGTCGGCAGCTACAGCTTCATAAGTGCAGGAACTTGTGACAGGAGCAGTCACAAAAAACACTCTCACTAGCATCGCTGACATCTCTGTCCTCACCATCGCTAGCAGGCCCACAGACTGACAAACCATCATCATCACCATCCTCAGCATCATCGGCATCATCAGCAGCAGCAGAAGGCTCATCCATCGGAGCGAGCTCGGATCACGCATTGATTCCTGCGCGAGGGGGCAAGTCTTTGGTCCATGAACTCACCCGCTTTGCCAGGGTGTTTGGCAGCGGACGTGGTGGTTACAAAAACCGAAGCTTCACTTGCTCACTGCGTCGCCCAAGCTCTTGGCGCCACTCTTGTCGAAGGCGGTCTTGCCCAGGTACACAAGCAATGCCGCTGTGAAGAAGAGCAGGTAAGACAGGTCGGAAGAGGTCGACTCCTCGTAGTAGGTGGGGTTGTCGAAGTTGCCGTTGTACGGGAGATCGGCTTCAGCGAAGGCGGGCTGGACGACCCTGGGCGTCTTGGGCATACATGCTTGTTTCAAGTCTTTGTAATGAACATGCTTAGAGAATTGCCGCCGCTAGTTTCTGAGCCCCCAGCACCATGGGTGCAAGAGCAGCGATGACGTCGGCGCGAGGCGTGGTCTTGGGCGCAGACACGAAAGCCGTGCTGCGGCAAAGCGCGACCACAGCCGCGGCCAGCAGCATCAGCGACATCACGCGACGAGCCATGACTATGCACTACAGAGAACGTGTCCTGAGGCAGTGTTTGAGCCTGTGAGCCTGACTGCAGCCACGAGCAAGCGGTCATAGCTAGCAGCTGGCAGGCAGACGCCACTCAAGACTGATAGCTCGCCTTTGCAAAGCAGATGTGGTGAGAGCGAACATGAACGAAATTGCAGTTCAATTCCCGTTTTTCTCTAGCTGCAGCATGCACGCGCAGCTACAGACAGTCTTGCGACAACTAGAGCTATCGCACAGTACAGGCCTGTAACGACCGTAAAAACACTCTTCACTTGCTCACTGCGTCGCCCAAGCTCTTGGCGCCGCTCTTGTCGAAGGCGGTCTTGCCCAGGTACACAAGCAATGCCGCTGTGAAGAAGAGCAGGTAAGACAGGTCGGAAGAGGTCGACTCCTCGTAGTAGGTGGGATTGTCGAAGTTGCCGTTGTACGGGAGATCGGCTTCAGCGAAGGCGGGCTGGACGACCCTGGGCGTCTTGGGCATACATGCTTGCTTCAAGTCTTTCTCATGAACATGCTTAGAATTGCCGCTAGTTTCTGAGCCCCCAGCACCATGGGTGCCAGAGCAGCGAGGACGTCGGCGCGAGGCGTAGTCTTGGGCGCAGACACGAAAGCCGTGCTGCGGCAAAGCGCGACCACAGCCGCGGCCAGCAGCATCAGCGACATCACGCGACGAGCCATGGTTCTCGTTTCTTGACAACCTAGAACACCTACTCAACAGCTGGGCACAGCTCTGCAAGCCTAAATCGGAGGAAGACGATATGCTCTCAAGTGACCTGGTATGACTCGACTTCGACTCGTTCAGCTTGTCCACAAACTCTCGAAGCCCTCAGCACTTGCAGCTGCCTTCTTAGCATCGTTGACTCTGCCACAAGGCGTCACGAGCTGCTTTGCGCACGTTGGCATGAAGTCTCTGTCTAGGGTGTAAAAGAGCGGTATATGCACGGCTGTCGGGCAGCATTCGAGCAAGAACTCGCCACAGCAAAAACCAAGCTTCACTTGCTCACTGCGTCGCCCAAGCTCTTGGCGCCGCTCTTGTCGAAGGCGGTCTTGCCCAGGTACACAAGCAATGCCGCTGTGAAGAAGAGCAGGTAAGACAGGTCGGAAGAGGTCGACTCCTCGTAGTAGGTGGGATTGTCGAAGTTGCCGTTGTACGGGAGATCGGCTTCAGCGAAGGCGGGCTGGACGACCCTGGGCGTCTTGGGCATACATGCTTGCTTCAAGTCTTTCTCATGAACATGCTTAGAATTGCCGCTAGTTTCTGAGCCCCCAGCACCATGGGTGCCAGAGCAGCGAGGACGTCGGCGCGAGGCGTAGTCTTGGGCGCAGACACGAAAGCCGTGCTGCGGCAAAGCGCGACCACAGCCGCGGCCAGCAGCATCAGCGACATCACGCGACGAGCCATGGTTCTCGTTTCTTGACAACCTAGAACACCTACTCAACAGCTGGGCACAGCTCTGCAAGCCTAAATCGGAGGAAGACGATATGCTCTCAAGTGACCTGGTATGACTCGACTTCGACTCGTTCAGCTTGTCCACAAACTCTCGAAGCCCTCAGCACTTGCAGCTGCCTTCTTAGCATCGTTGACTCTGCCACAAGGCGTCACGAGCTGCTTTGCGCACGTTGGCATGAAGTCTCTGTCTAGGGTGTAAAAGAGCGGTATATGCACGGCTGTCGGGCAGCATTCGAGCAAGAACTCGCCACAGCAAAAACCAAGCTTCACTTGCTCACTGCGTCGCCCAAGCTCTTGGCGCCGCTCTTGTCGAAGGCGGTCTTGCCCAGGTACACAAGCAATGCCGCTGTGAAGAAGAGCAGGTAAGACAGGTCGGAAGAGGTCGACTCCTCGTAGTAGGTGGGGTTGTCGAAGTTGCCGTTGTACGGGAGATCGGCTTCAGCGAAGGCGGGCTGGACGACCCTGGGCGTCTTGGGCATACATGCTTGCTTCAAGTCTTTCTCATGAACATGCTTAATTAGAGAATTGCCGCCGCTAGTTTCTGAGCCCCCAGCACCATGGGTGCCAGAGCAGCGAGGACGTCGGCGCGAGGCGTGGTCTTGGGCGCAGACACGAAAGCCGTGCTGCGGCAAAACGCGACCACAGCCGCGGCCAGCAGCATCAGCGACATCACGCGACGAGCCATGGTGGCCAGTTGCAGTCCGTGCCAATCTGAGACGACCTAGTGACCTAATGCCTCACGCAATGCTCTGGTCCACGTGCCCACGGTAGAACAAGCATTTAGACTCATTAGACATGCACATTGCAAAGCCGAGTCCTCTCCCAAACTCAGTGTGGCCTCGTTCTGCAGGTTGTCGTTGTCTTTCGCGGCATTCTGAATGTGGGTGTTGATCTGCTTGACGACATCCTGTCGCAGCAGTGTCAAGTTGGTCTCACTACAAGGATAATAAGGACGTGGGAGGCCAGAAAGCGAAGCCAAGTCGAAGCTACAGCACGCCTCTCCCTCTGCCACCTGACACGCTGGAAAACCAGAACTATTTGAGGTAAAACCTGTACCTTGCATCTGCTGCGGCATGCAGGTCGGGCTTGTGACCCCTGAATGCCTGTGCCTTACCCAGCCCAGTCGCATACAAACGCCGCTTCAACAAGGGATCCCTGATCTGCAATACTTTAAGAAATTGATTGCATGCTCCATCGAGGGACCTCGTAAACATCAACTGGGTGAGGCCGGCCCTACTCTTGGCGCTAAACTGCTAAACAGGATCCTGATTACTACTGTTGATGATATAAGTCCTGCACTAGCTTAAGGACCCGAAACTATGGGAATTATGATATATTCCTTATTATGTGTAATGCAGGATTTTTATCATCAACCGTAGGACCCGCCCCCCCCCAACACAGAAGGGACCTCCGGACCGTACACCCCTCAAAACAAACCAGCCGATACATGATTAACAAGGGAACACATCGAAGGGCTTCTGGAGCCCATGACTTACACCTACATTAGGAAGGTTTGTAAGAAAATCATGCTAGGGAACCAGAAGAAATAACCCTACAAACCCCTGCAAAACGTACCGGAACTATTGTTACTGTTATTACCGGGCCTGGAAATGCTGCTTCACGGGCTCGCTGTTCGTTTGAATCGCTTGCGCCAAAGCCTGTGGCTGGCAGTCTGTCCCAAAGAGCCTGAAGAAATGGACCTGAAATTCTGGTGGGTTAAGGGTTCACGGTTTTATTTGGGCTAAATAGCCTCACGGTTAATAAGAGCTATTTATTGCTCACGATGATGCATGACACAATCTACCGCTGGTGGGCGTCTGAGTCTTCATCGGCACAATCTTGACTGCTCCTTCTGCCATCTGCCATCTTCCCGACGCTCAAAAGAACCCCCCTTTTTTCGGACATTCTGCAGATCGAGCTCCCTCCCTGACACCCCTTAAGAGTCCTGAGCCCCTGCTCTTCTTCTGTTTCGGGGCTTACGGTTCGGAGTCTCAAGGCTGGTCGTGCGCTCCGCGGCGGTTGGAGCTCATGTACACCGGACACGTAAGCTTCGACTTAAGAGACGAGAGGATATTTAGTTATATCAGGAATATGGGAAGTGCTCTAAATTAGGGCCCCTCTTCAGGTCCCAGTCATACGGCGCCGTTGTAAAAACGACCCTGAACTCCAAGGTATTTAACCCCACTTGAAACCACCCATGAATTTTCCTTCTAGATACCCATGGTTCTGGTTTAGGGTTTAGGGCTTTAGGGTTCAGGGTCCAGGGTGCCTAGAATCCCCAAAACCTAGCCAGCATGAGTACCATCACCAGCAGAAGAACCGGCACCAGCGCCACATCATGAATGTGAAGAAAAGATCACACAAATGCAACGGGAATGACACGAAAAATCCAAAGCTAAAATGACACTCAGAAAATGAGCAACACCTTCTTCATGCATCGCAGGAACTGACAGCTTACACAGACTCGGCGTGGATGCGCATATTTGACCCCTGACTAAAGCCAGTGCGCCTCGTACCACTCTACCAGCTGCTCCACGCGTGGCATGGATGGCTGCACCCTAGCATTGCCGGCTTGAGATTTCTGAATTCGACTCAGAGGCTTGAGGCCGGGGAGTTTAAGTTTTCGGTGACAGGACTCGGGTGTCAGGCGTTTTCGGCTTGCCAGCTGGCGGCAGTTGTAGGATGGGATTCGGGTACTTGTGTTACTGCTACTCCTATTCCTATCACTGCTGCGACGACTACGCCTGCGACGACGAAGACTACTGCTGCTACGCTGTGCACCATGTCCAGTACAAGCAGTGGTGTTCCTACTTGTCCAGCAGACTTCGGGAAAGAAAGGTTAACATTTAACTTTAACAATAAGGGTTACCCACAGGCCCCAAAGTAGTTCCTTTTTAGGATTACCTTATAGGATTCTATATATGAACCCCAAAAAGGAACTACTTTGGGGCCATTGGGTCATATTCCCCCACAAAAGTTAAAGCTTCCCTGCTCTAAGGCCAAGAGGAGCAGCAGAACCATCAGACCCCACCCGAAAAAAAGACAGTGGGTGGGCCATCGACCTCAGCATTCGGGAGAGCATGAGGATGAAGAGCATCTTCACGAAGTCCTCAGAGGAGCTAGGCGGATCAGAAAGGGGCCTTAACAGTTAGAATAGAATAGGGTTATGGGGTATATTATACGACAACTTTTATAAGGAAACTCCAAAATAGTATAGGCAAGTATTAATGCCCCTATATTAGAGCTTAGGGTGGCGAGTATGTTCACCATCATGTCTGCTTGTTGTCGAGCGCGTTGCAGATTGGCTCCTTCCCGCTTCTAAGTTGTGAAGTCTGCAGGAGGCATTGAGATGAGTCACGGATGCAAGGCAAGGATTCGCATCCACCAAAAGTTCGCAAAAAAATCCGCATGCGTTTTCGAGACTTGTATTTTGGCCCGCAGCAACACAGACACGACATCATCGTGTCAGTCGGACCGTGGTTTGGCTCTTAATGGGGATCGGCAACTGTCGCAAGCATCTCGCGCCGTCACAATGTCCACTCTCATGCGGGGGACGGCAGCTCCGCGCGCCAGTGTCGTCGCCACGTCCCCCCAACCTTTGTGTCCCAGTACCTTCATCCTGGCCCCTCGGAAACGCCGGGGATTTGACTTGTCTTTTGTACATGGACCAGTATATCATACTTTGTCAAATAATATCGTACTAGACTATTCTAAAGAGGCTAGTAAACTATTTATACTGTATTATGCAATATTAAAATGCAATATTCAAGTTATACTGTATTATCCTATATTATCCTAGTAGAACATACTACTCTATGCTTTACGATACTGTGAAATGTCATACATTGTATTATACTCTACAAAACCATCATGTGGGATTCTATCGAGGGAGGAGCTATGTCGGATGTGTCTTTCGAATAGGATCGGGGGGCTTCCTAAATGCTAGGGCCGAGGGTGTCGACGAACTTGAAGGTCTCTCTCAGCGCAATACGTGACTACTTGGAGGTTCATGGGTAGTTATAAGTAGGGTTATAAGTAGGATAACTATAGTTATAACACATATTATGCGACTAAAAAACCCCACTTATAATTACCCATGAACCTCCAAGTAGTAGACTTGGGACCCCAAGGCGGCCCCCTAGTTTCAGTGAACACCCCGAACACATGGACCTTGACGTACCATAACCTACGGCTTCTAGGCTCTTTGATAAGGGGTACCACAAGGATTCTATAAGGGTACTGGTACTATAATGTAGGGGCCTCAATAACTAGAAGAGGTTGCAAGAAACCCTCATGGGTTAAGGTCGTGTTTGAACTCTCTGTATACGAGAGCACATGCAAAGGGCAAACTGCTGAGAATCTCCAAAATGAAAGGAAGGCCACGATCCCACTAAAGAGGCCCATGAACACTCAGACAAACCTAAGAAGGCACACCCTGTGGAACCCTTATAGATTTCTTCCCGAACCTTATACAAAACCTCAAACGAGCCCTCAAAGAAATCCCCAAGTATCCCTCTGCCTGTGCCCTAAAGCCCCCCGAAACCCAAAAACTGCATCCCCATTCATGAAGGCTCCTATACTAAACCCTTATTAGTAGCCCTTATAATAAGCCGTATAGACCCTTTCTAAGAGCCCTTGAAAAGGAATCCCCAGTCCCCCTTCGCCCGCCAAGAAGGGCCTTGATTGCTCCGAGGACCTCCTCCTGTTGAGGCTCTGGGTTTTCTTTATTATTATTCTTATTATTCTTATTATTACTATTATTATTCTTACTACTGTAGGGTTTCATTTTTATTATTATAGATTAGAAGCTGCCCCCACCCTGTAATAGTGGTATAATAGGAACATAATAGGGCCCTACTATAATCCTTATAGTCACCATTACAGGGTGGGTGCAGCTTCTAAATTATAGGGTTCACTGAGCTATGGCGCTATTTAACCTGCAAGTTTCAACATCCTACCATGGCCTGGGCGGAATAAGGCGGACTCAGTGTTCATTCTTCGAGGGTCCTGAGGGTTCCTGAGAGGGGGGTTTGGGGTTTGGTCCTTAAATTACCCGAACAGGGTTGAGTTTAGGGTTTAGGGCTTGGGCAGTGCAAGGTGACCTTGACTCCAGGGTTCAGGATTCAGGGAGTGTACGGTCACTAAGGTGATGCGACTACTAAGGGTTTCGAGGCGAGTATTGAACAGACTACAATGGGATACTGCTGTTCAGGCTCGGGCTGTGTGAAGGTCTGCAGCTACACTGCCTACTTTGGATTCGCTCTTGGATAGCTCTGGCGAGGTAGGTTCGGGTACCATTACATGTGTACGGCGTAGTGTCGAGACGAGATGCCAATCAACCGGGTGGGGGGGGGGGGGCCTGTGAACTACTCCACGGAATGGCTTGCGACAAGACCATACTTGGCCCTAAAGCCTGAACCCTTGACCTTATTATTATTATTATTATTATTATTATTGTTATTATTATTGTTATTATTATTGTTATTATTATTGTTATTATTGTTATTATTATTGTTCTTATTGTTATTATTGTTATTATTGTTATTATTGTTATTATTGTTATTATTATTATCATTATTAGATGGCAAATGTTTCAACTTGGATTGTCCCCGCCCTAGACCCTGCACCCTTGACCTTCCATACCAGACGCTGTACTCCTCAAAGCCGCATGCTCCACAAGCCGAAACCTAACCTATTCCCTGCAAATGCCCTAAACCCCAACCCCAAAACCTGAACCCCAAACTCTAAACCCTAAATCCGAATCCCGTAAACCCGCCAAACTTCAAAAAAGCCACCTTGTTCTCCAGACGATCCAGCCTCTGGCAGTTGAGTGCTTCGAGGCAAGAAGATCAGAGTTTTTGGTCCTAGGGTCCTGGGGTCTTCGGGTTTTGTGGGGTTTAGGGTTCAGGGGTTTAGGGTGTGGGGCGAGTAGTACTAGTGGTTGGAGAAGTACAAGCACAAGCAGTAGTAGTAGTAGTAGTAGTAGTAGTAGTAGTAGTAGTAGTAGTAGTAGTAGTAGTTGTTGTTGTAGTTGTTGTTGTTGCTGCAGTAGTCGCACTAGTAGTAGTAGAGGTGGTGGTAGTTGTAGTAGTAGTAGCAGCAGCAGCAGCAGCACGGTGACGATTTTTAATCGTGCGGATTTTGCAGTATCCTAGCAAATATCTTGTACAACCTCCGTTGAAGTAGAGGTGGCAGTGGTAGTGCAGTCCTAAACCGTGAAATAAGAATATGAGCGAAGAAACGAGACACGGACCAACCACCTTAAAACTCTATGTATGGACAAAATGTCGAGGAGAACCTGAATCCACGATGTTCGCGTCCCGATAGTAGGATTAACGGCCCCAGCGGCTCTCACTCAGAAATGGGGTAAGAGTTTGAGCTGCATTTGGGATGCGCCTCCTTGCCTTCTCCCAATACATTGCTACCAAGATCCAACGATTCAATTTAGGGTTTAAGGGGGGGAACACTAGAGCAAAACGAGACAGCTCTGGCGGATGAATTTGAATTGATTGCGCGAGCCGCGGAAAGACGTTGCCCGGAACGTGGCTAACTACAGCGTGATACATTTTTAAAGACAAAAAGCAGGAGCCCCTCGAAATCTCTGAGCAGCCCCGCAACTTTGGGGAAAAGCACTTCGCACATCCCCCTGAACCCCGCCGATATTTGGATGGGAAGCATGAGCGCCGTGCTCCAGCACTTGTCAAGGAAACATGGTGGGCATGCCCCAGGTGCATTCCGGCTCGTTCTGCATGTTGCGGGAAAGTCGAGGTAGGCCATGGTCTTATGCATCTGGCTTACTATACCTGCCGTACTTCGTCATTACTGTAGTTACTTAGCCCGTCCGAAAACAACGCCACATCCTCTGTCACAAAGTCGTGCCCAGCTGCACGAAGAAGACGTAGTCCACGTCGGCATCTGGCGGTGCCTGATCAACTCTGTTTAGACACCGAATGCCGGGATCCTGATTCTAAGCAGCCCTTTCACAGGTCGGGCTGTGTGCCTTGCAAGGATGACAACTCGTGTGGACAGCAACCTGCGCGCTGATTACGACGGCAACGACACAAGGGCAACGATGATGGCAACGCTGGGTTGCTGCTGATGATAATGATGGTCATCATGAACCATGAACATGGTGGTGGCAACTGTGAGGATGATGATGACGTGCTGCTGCTGCTGCTGCTGCTGCTGCTGCTGCTGCTGCTGCTGCTGCTGCTGCTGCTGCTGCTGCTGCTGCTGCTGCTGCTGCTGCTGCTGCTGCTGCTGCTGCTGCTGCTGCTGCTGCTGCTGCTGCTGCTGGCTGCTGCTGCTGCTGCTGCTGGCTGCTGCTGCTGGCTGCTGCTGGCTGCTGCTGCTGGCTGCTGCTGCTGGCTGCTGCTGCTGCTGCTGCTGCTGCTGCTGCTGCTGCTGCTGCTGCTGCTGCTGCTGCTGCTGCTGCTGCTGCTGCTGCTGCTGCTGCTGCTGCTGCTGCTGCTGCTGCTGCTGCTGCTGCTGCTGCTGCTGCTGCTGCTGCTGCTGCTGCTGCTGCTGCTGGCTGCTGCTGCTGGCTGCTGCTGCTGCTGCTGCTGCTGCTGCTGCTGCTGCTGCTGCTGCTGCTGCTGCTGCTGCTGCTGCTGCTGCTGCTGCTGCTGCTGCTGCTGCTGCTGCTGCTGCTGCTGCTGCTGCTGCTGCTGCTGCTGCTGCTGCTCCTGCTGCTGCTGCTGCTGCTGCTGCTGCTGCTGCTGCTGCTGCTGCTGCTGCTGCTGCTGCTGCTGCTGCTGGAAACCCGAGGATCGCAGCATTTCTAGGAGGATCTGAAGCCGATACCTGGCAACCTGGCTGAGCCCATACAAGCAACTTTAAGGCTTAGGGCTTAGTAGAGTTGATGGTTCAGAGTTTAGCCTACCTTCTGTGCCGACACTCTGGTCATAAACCCTGCAGATCCCTGCAAGGCCGCAGACACTGAGGGGCCCTCAATTCAAGCCCCAAAAAAATCCGAAACCCTAAAGCCTAAACCCTAAAAGCCCAAACGGCTTTTTGGGGCCCGGAACCTCCGGAGCCGGCTGGGCCGCTGAGCCCGGGCCACTGGAACCACCCTGCCTTTGAAGGGCCGAGGATTCACGGTTAGCAAGGGGTTTAGGGTTCACGCTATATAGAGTTTAAGGTTTACATAATATCGGGATGACGGCTTATATTTTTAATAGAAGGTTCAGGGTTTATGTAATATAGGGTTTACGTCGAGTTTTGATAATATAGGGTTTAGGTCTAGGGTTCATTGGTTTTGGGTGACTCAGGGGTAGACTGGGGTTTCGGGAGTTCAGGACTTAAGGAGAGGGAGGGACAGTTTAAGGGGTAAGATGAATGTTGAACTTAGAAAAGGGTTGCTAAAAGGGTTCGGAAAAGAGGGCTCCGTGAGGGATACGATCACGGTTGTGATGAGGGGTCTAGAAGGAACTTACGTAGGGTTTCCGATTTCAGGGTTTAGGGCTTTCGAGCTCTTGTGGTTCCGGGGTTGAAGGGTTTAGGCTTTGGGACTGAGCTTCGGGCTGGTAGGGTTTAGGAGTTGAGGAGCTCATGGACTCATGGCTTTCGGGTTCGAGGGTTTAGGCTCAGCGCTTTAGGGTTCAGGGGTCTAGGGTGCCGCGGGGCTGAAGCGTTGCCGAGATCTGGTTCTTGCAAAGCAGTAAGTGTCCCTACGCTATGAGCTATGAAATCAGTAGTAGCAGTCGTGGCAGTAGCCAGGGTTCGGGATCGTGGCTTGGCTTTGGATGCAATCTTCGCCAGGTGTTGCTTGGTTAGTATCAATCAGAGAAGAGCCCGTGGCAGACAAGGAATTAAGAGTCAGTAGGTATCGCCGTCCTGTACGATAGTAGTACGGCTTGAGAGTTGAGGGTATAGGTTAAGCTCTGCTACCATTCAGTGTTCGTACGCAGGGGTATCCACCAATACAACCTGCTACCTGTACTGTCTAGAAAATTCACGACTTCTAGGTCATTCTGGGGGGCTTCGTATTCCGATTCACGGGTGTAGTTCCTTGAAGGGACATGGGGCTTTCTGCGAGGTTCGGACACTTTCGCCTCTGAAAGGCGGGCTTTGAGGATCGAATTTTCGGGCCTTTGAGTGTCCCGAAGCCTTGAAGCTTCTAAAGCTTATGAATCCTAAAGCTCCAAGAAGGAAGCCTAAGCCTCAAAGGGGAGGGGGAGGGTGAGGGTGGGGGGGAACGGAGGATCTCGCAGAAAGACGGCCGGGGCACAAATCGATGGCGGAGACGATGGCCGTCTCTGGGTTCTTCTCATACAGCAGCCTGAGTGGGGGTACTATAGGGGCCTTTATGATTAGAATGGGGTTCCCTTTAAAGGGTTCCGCTAAGGGGTCTATAAGGCTACCATAAAATAGGGGCCTTCATAATTAGAATACGGGTTTGGTGCCCATTATACTCGAAATAGTATGGGTAAATATTAAGGCCTCTATAGTGCGGGTGGATTTGGGGCTTGGGGTCTAGGAAGGGTTTGGGGGTTTAAGGTACACGGTCTGGTGTTCCGAAGCTAGGGATCGGGTTCTGGTTTTGCGGCTTCGGGTAGTAGGTGTCGGTGGGCGCTGCAAGATCTGCTTCGGTATCGGGCTTCGGTATCGGGCATTTCGTGGCTTCAGGTTTGCTGCGCCGCTTCACGTTAAGGACGTGGTCCCTGAGAGCACGAACTATAATGATGATTTCCTTCACCGTCCTGAGATCATGACTCATGATCTCATGACCATCCCAGTATCATCCTCACCATCATCATCATCGTCAGAGCCACACTCTGAATGAGCCTCCTCCCAGTGTGACAAGCGCAAGCCACAAAGGAGGAGCCCTGCTCGCCCCAAGTGAGCCCCCTGGAACCCCCTAAATTCCCAACCCTAAACCCTAAACCCTAAATCCTAAACCCTAAACCCTAAACCCTAAACCGTGAACCCAACCCGGCCCCTGGTCCGGGCTTCCCAACTTCAGCAAGCGCTTCAGCTGATCCACCGTCTTCTCGTTGTACGTCCTCCACAGGCGCCCGTTACCCGAGAGCAGCTCAAGCTCGAGCTTCAGACTCCAAAACCCCAAAGACCCTCTAAGACCTGTAATATAAACCTCCTCCAAAAGAACACCCTATCTACTCTAAAGCCCTCAAAACACCCTATGTACTCTAAAGCCCTCAAAACGCCCTATGTACTATGTATTCTAAAGCCCTGCACTGTAAAGTCTTAGCGTCAGCTTGAGCATCCTCTTCCAGGCAGGCACACTCGATGGACTGCCACTCATGATCCTGGCCCGCGAGCATTCGGGTGTTCTGGTCATGGAGGTTTAGGGTTTAGGGTTTACGGGACTGGGTTTATGATGTTTTTTGTGGTGCTTTGCGATTCCCGGTTGGGATTCACTATGAGCCAAAACAGATAAGGGATTGGGTTTGGGGTTTAGGCTATTTGTTTCGGATTTCGGGTTTAGGTTTAGGCTTTGGGGTCTGGGGTTTAGGCTGTGGGCTTATGTCCGAAAGAGACACTCAATTCGTCAACTAGCACTTGGAGGATCATGGGACTCAGTACGTCAGGTTAGAAGTACCTTCAATGGGGCTACAAGTGACTATAAGTATAGTTACCTTACATATATAACCTTGGTTACTGAGTTCTATGATCCTCCAAGTATAAGTATAGTTACCTTACATATAACCTTGGTTACTAAGTTCTATGATCCTCCAAGCACCCTTTCCCACGCAAGCGCGCGAAGGCAGGCGGGACGGGCTCCCAGTTGACATTCTGAGCCTGAGGCGGAGCTTGTCTCCTTTAGGACTCTCCGAATCACGCAAGCCCAAACCTAAGCCCCACATGAGGTCTGAATAAGTTAGTCTCTTCTGGACTTGCACTGTCAAGATTCAGCAACCCTCAATCCGCAAACCGCAAAAACAAAGCAAGCATGAACTAACAAGGCTTGAACTCTAAACTTCAAGGACCTCCGAGAGCCCACCGAGCTTGCGAAACGTTCGGGGCGGTTCTCTTTCGGGCATCCTGGTTCAGGTGTATAATTATAAGGCTTGGATATCGGGGCTGATATTGGGGTTAACATCGGTCATTAATGATTAGAACAAGGTCTTGGTACACGTTCTATTACAGTAAAAAATAGGGGCTCTCAAGTTCGGCGGGGTGAATCCTAAACCCCGAAACCCCAGACCGCGGAGTCTGTATTGATTGCACTTACCATTGTTATCAGCATATTGTCATCGTTAACACAAGTATGGCGTTAGGTTCCTGATTCTCTGCTTGATCAACGCGATGCCGTGCCTGCGGGTTCCCGCGATCGTTCACAGACACGGAGAACTCGAGGAGCTGACCCCATTGCCACGCAGCTTAGCAGGGCAGGGGCTTTGGGGCTTGATGGTCTTAGGGCTTTCGGCTTTGGGAGGGGGGCGGCTGAGCGGCTGTTGAGTGGGGGTGCCTTGTTAAGGATCCGAATATTTCGAACTTATGTCAGAGATTCCTCTCACTCACGTCTACCTTTTTCCTGCTGAACAGGGGCGTTCTGGGGCTGGCGGCAGCCTGTCAGGTCTGTGTTGAAGCTGTCCCCCACTTCAGTTTCCTAGCCGATTCAGGTTTGGGCGCGAGCGAAGCCACTCAAACCTAGCCCGCCCATGGTGAGGACCCCACAAGGCGGCAGCCCCCACCGTCCTGCCTACATCTGCCTTGCATGGGGCCAGGATGGCTTCGGAGCCCCCATGCCTGCCTCTCGTCTCCCTCCCTTCCCCCTCTCTCTCCCTCTCTCCCTCTCTCTCCCTCTCTCTCTCTCTCTCCCTCTCTCTCTCTCTCTCTCTCTCTCTCTCTCTCTCTCCCTCTGCTCGGGCGCGTTCTACTGCGGGGATGCGATTGCCAAGTTTTCAGGCCCCTGTACTCATCCACGGGCCTCCGTCTGGGCAGCCTTGGGCCTTGGGCTCAGGCCCTGAGTTTACCCCTAGGCCCCAAAGTAGTTCCCTTTGGGGGTTCATATGTAGAATCCCATATCCCAAAAAGGAACTACCATGGGACTCAATTATGGGTAGGGCCTTGGGTTTCGGGCTCGGCCCCAACAAAGAGCTCCAACAATATGACAGCGAAGCACACAGGCTTAAGCAGAGAGCTCAGGTTCGAACAATTCTCGCGCATCTGCGTCTTGTCCAGGTAAACGTCCCGCGAATAGCACTTGGTCGGCACGCCACTGTCTCGCTAAGCGACTTGGGCTGCAAGCGCGTTTGATGATTCCAGTGCACTGTGCACGGTACGTAGCGCGGCAGAGTACCATACCATACCTTCCACTATACTGTGCCGCAACTAACTTGCCTGCTTCTCCCATCCCACTCCGCTGAGGTTGACACTGGAGCCGATGCGGCGAAAGCAGTTTCGGCGCTAAGGTGACGTAGCTAGCTGAGCTAGCTGCGGCCTTGGTCTCACCGCACTCGACGAAGCCATAACCTCAGCGACCGTGGTATAGTATCGGGACTCTTGATTTGGTGTCCTCACCAGGACGAGCTAAGAGCAATTCGAGCTTCGCAGCACTGCTTTCATGTGCTTGCATTGAGCTGGAGCGCAGGCATGTCATGTCAAGCGGAACTGCTGTGGCTTGTTTCGATTATGTACGAGCGCTTTGTGGCACGAGAACACTGACCAAGACGACAAAGGATAACTCCAAAGGCTAGACACACCAGCACATTGAAAAACAAGTTGAATCTCCTACAGCTCGAAGTCTTTATGTTGGCAGTATCGGATATGCTCGTAGCCAGCAAATGAGCAGCATCAGCATCAAACCTTCAAGCTACATGATGGCACATAAAGCACTGGGGATTGCTTATCGTGAGAGGTCGTCATGTGACGCTTTGTAGATCAATCGTTAGGGTCCCAATAACTGGAATACGGTTGTGGGAGATACTATAATAAAGTATCGTCATACAGTGGGGATAAGGCTAAGGAGCTTGAACGTTGTCACGACACATTCAACATGACATTCGTCGAAGACTTCCGCCTACTTGAGGACTACTTGAAGGTTGACGGTCATTCAACTGAAGCTCGTAGGGTTTAGGACTAAGCATGGCTATACACACAGTTGCATCATACCACCCTAATCGTCGATCCTCCTTGCGATGACCATGTCCTTCGATCCTTCCAGGAAGGGCACAGCTGCTCAAGCTCTGAGCTCGAAAGCCAAGCAATACGTGTTTGGATTCAACACTTCGAGGCTTCGGGCTTGGCCCCTTGGCTCTTTGCGGCCTTTTGGGGTGGGTAGGGCCCCAAAAAGCCCCATAAGATAGGGGATATCCCTCTAAAATGCTTATGCTTTTTGGGGATCCCTAAGTAAAGGGTGGTCCGGCACACTCGAGGTCCGAACCCCCAAGCCTCCCCTGCAGCCCTGAACCCCAAGATCTAAAGCCATAAACTCCTCAACTCGACACCCTAAAGCCCTAAACCCCTGACCCGACGACCTAACCCGTGAACCCCTGTGCTTGGTTCCACTCAAGCAGGTGGGTTTAGGGTTTAGGGTAATGCAGGGGCGTTAAGGAAGAAGAGGGCTCAACCAGGACGCCAAGGAATGACATTGGTCATTGCCCACGCTTCTATACGCTCGTTTTCAACCTAGTCAGGACGTGGAAGTCAGCTTGAAGCCGAACCAGATGTAAACATAACCCTACATCCGAAACCCCGAAACCCTAAAGCCCCCTAAATTGGCGCTCCGAAGATTTGCCAAGCTCGAGGCCATGTGTCTGAGAGAAGCTCCTTGGGCAGCAGATCGGCAAAGGGCTTTGCTTTATTTCTTTACTTTAGGGTTTAGGGTTCAGGGCATCTGCAAACGATCAAGCACCAGAACCATCATCCACAGCCTCAATGATTCATTGTAAGCAGCAACACCCGCCATCAGCATCGAAAGGAACACCATCGCCACCTCCATGATTCCCACCATCTTCCACGTAAGCATGCTGGTGCTGGTGATGGCGACGGCGATGTGGAGGCAGATGGTGAGGATGATCACGAGAACATAGAGGGTGAGGATGACGAGAACGAGGATATGCCGTTGATGATGACGGGTGGTGGTGCTGATGGTGACGACGAGAATGATGGAGACGATGCTGGGGCTGATCCTGATGGCGGCACCGGCACTGTTGACGACGACTACGACTGTTGTCGCCTATGGCGGTGGTGACCATGGCGAGCGCGATGCTTTCTGTTGGTGAAGGTGATCGCGACGTTGACAGGATGGTACTGTTGCCGATGAACGAGACTATGACTCTGCGGATGTTGACGTACCACCATGGACAGCAGCAGCATCATCACATCACCAACACCACAAAAACTCATCGTGTCGTCATCGATGTCGATGCAGCAAGCCCCTGCCCTTCATCCAGAACTTGCAGCTGCAGGGAACTCTAAGTCAACTAAGTCGAACTTCAACTCCCTGGACCCCCAAAGTATGTAGAATAATGGCCGTTTATAGGTTATGGGTCGTTATTTTACCTACTTTGGGGGTTTAGGTCAACACTCCGATTCATGTCTTGAACCACCGTCAAATCTCCCGCGTCATCCTGCAACCTCAGAACCCCCAGAGAGCCCACTACCCCTTAACTAAGGAATATGCCGTAAATTATAAGGGGGCGCATAATATGATTTAAGCCATATTCCTTAATTAAGGGGTATTGGGCTCTCTGGGCCTATATGACCCCAATCTCGCAAATGTTCCCAAACAAACAGAAACTGCACGGCAGCAGCACCCACCCCCCGCCCCCAAAACCCTTACAGAAGCCCTTCTACTATCCTTTATGGTGGCCTTTCTAGTGACCTTTCGGTAGCCCCCCACTCTTCTAGAAAGACTGAAGGGGCCATATTATTCTACGAGTACTTATAAATTATACAAAGGAACCCCCAAAATAGTAAAGGTAATTATTGAAGCCCCTATACCATAGACCCCTGCCCTATCATAGATCCCTTGTAGAAACCGTCAAAGAACCCTCAATAAAAGGAATCCGATTCTAATCATTAAGGCCCCTGAACTAAATCCCTATCATAGCCCTCATAGTAGCCCTTAGAGACCCCTTTTGAAGGAACCCTCTCTGTAACCCTGTAAGGAACCCTACTCTAATCATTTAGGGGCCCCCTATATCATAGAACTCTTATAGTCTTATAGTAGTCCTTATGATCGTAATCCCTTTAAAGGAACCCTATGAAACCCCCACTCTAATTTTTAAGGGACCGTGTACTACGGTCCCGGTCCCCCCCCCATGGGTGCCGGACTTCAAAGTGCCGAGGCGACGGGGCTCGTCAGACCTGGGCGAGGGTTTCATAGGGTTTGGGTTTGGGGTTTAGGGGTTTGGGGTTTAGGGGTTTAGGGGTTTAGGGGTTTGGGATTTTGGATTTTGGGTCAGACCTGGGCGAGGGTCCACACGGTTTGGGGTTCAGGGGTTCAGGGGTTTAGGGGTTTAGGGGTCTAGGGATTCAGGGGTTCAGGGGTTTAGGGTTTTGGGGTTTAGGGTTTCTTTCTTGTCTTGGAGCTCAGGGTTTAGGGTTTAGGGTTTGGGGTTTGGGCTTTAGGGGTCTTAGGGTTTAGGGTTTTGGGATTTTGGGTTTAGGGTTTAGGGTCTGGGGCTTAGGGTTTGGGGCTTAGGGCTTAATGTGACTGTAGAGGCCCTGGTGAAGAGGGTTTGGGGCTCCTTTCTTGTCTAGTTATAATAGGGAGCCCTGAGGAGGAGTACTGGTAATCATTGATGCTTCTATATTAGGCTTTGCAATGTTGTACAAGGGCTGGATTTTCCCAGAGAGCCCAATACCCCTTAATTAAGGAACATGGCTTAAATCATATTATGAATCCCCTTATAATTCAAGGTATATTGCTTAATTAAGGGGTATTGGGCTTTCTGGGTTTGGCCAAGGGGGAGGGGGGGCAAACAGCTGGCTTTAATTTTCGGGTTGCTGTTGGAGGCAGGGCTTTCAGTGTTGTAACACCAGATGATTGCCGTGCTGACGAACGTTTTATTTGGTGCGATGCGCTTGTGCCAATTGCTGCTCCTGGTGCAGATGATAGTGTTCTCTGCTGTTTCTATTGCTCTGAACATCACTGCTGCTGTTTTTATGGCCGCTGGCATCTAC